CCAAAAAAAAAATCCAAAAACAATCGAACTTTGCTTTCAACTGAATTTTAAAAGGAATGTACCAAACATACCCTTAAAAATTATTAGTTTATTCAATAAAATAATAATAGTAATATATTTACAAGTTTCTTTTATTTTAGACAAAATAATTAAGATTCTGAAAAAATGTTCCCTATTATTAATAATAATATGGTCGTTGCTAAATCGCTATCACATGGAGATGGGGAAGTTGCGAATCCCTATTATTAAGTGGATTTTTTTTTTAATAAAAAAAAAAAAAAAAACATGCAGAAATCAAGTCCACCGACAGCCGGTGGAGTGGCGAACGGTAGCTACCGACTATAACCGGTGGTTTTAAGGACGGGGCAACAGCCTGTTGCCAACGAAGACGACGGTTTGTTAGCTCGCAGCAGCATATGTTCACCCTTGTCAATTTCTTTAGAAGGGCCCGGCACTAGGCGTGTCAAAAAGCTATTGGGTCAATTTAGGAATAGTCAAAACTCTTTTCTTTAGGAAACCAGTCTTCATTTGACACGTCAATTAGAGCACGGAAGGGTTTACCATGGTTGGTTTAGGAGACAGTGATGTTGTAACAGTTTTTGTGAGGTGAGATGGCTCGTGGGCTGTAGCTGGCTTAGCCGAGCTGTCCACTTTATGCAAGGATATTTTAATTTTGATCAAGAAATGATGCAAAACACACTGTAAATTTGTAATGTCCATGTACAAAGAAACAATTCACTATAAGTTATTTGTAATGTCCATATTATAAACAAACAATTCAATATCAGTCATTTAGAATTATTTGTATTTTCAATTACAAATTTAAGATTTAATTTTTAATTATTACTTACTAAAAAATATAAACACGTTTGTCCCCTTTTTTTAATGATGTATGATAATTATAGATTTATTGCTTGAAATAGCTAAATGAGGTTTCCAGCACCTGTGTCACCTGCACACAAAAAAAATGAAGAACTTTTTAGGGTGAGTGTCAAACATGTCTGCAGCATATGTTTTCCAATGCCTAAGTCAAGGAAGGTACTGGTGAAATGGGAAAGAAGGAAAGAAATAACTAGGAGAGAGAGAGAGGGATTCAAAGGATTTTAGGTGAGGAAGGCACCTTTTATAATCTTTTCTTGATTCATTTCATTGTGGATTAATTTACTACCTTTTGTATATCATAGGTTTTTTATTTGTCAAAATAGTATAAGTGACAGGTGTGTCAACTCATATAATTGAAACATTTTTTATTTGTCAAAATAGTATAAGTGACAGGTGTATCAACTCATACAATTGAAACATGTGTATGAGACAAGAGAAATAAAGACCAATGTCTTTTGACAAATTGAGATAGGTGGAGTAGTGCTACTACATGCATACTATGACACAGTGTGGACACCTCGTCTTTGGTAGTTTTGTTTTTGTCCTAGCTTTGGTGGCTAAGTTTGGGCTGTTGTTGCATCTAAGGCAACTTACCAACAATGCAAATCATGATCAAGATAACTCATTAACTAAGAACCTAGGAGCTTCCTCGAAGATATTTTTTAAGGGCATTTTTTTTATTAGATTGAAAGTGGTTAATTTTATTTAGGTCAATTATTTTTTGAATTACGTAAATTAGTTAAAAATCATAATGTGTGCGTAAATATTTAGCTAGTACCAATGTGAATAACAATTTTTTTTTGGGAAAATGGTTATCGTCATAAATTGAATTGTGAAGACTATTAGTTTCAAGACTTTTTCATTTGAATTTGTAGGCCTGAAAAGTCCATGTATTCATGTTATTTAAAAGTAATAATTATAATAGAAAGGAAAAGGGGAAAAGGGAAAAAGCGCGCCATGTTAACGTTTCCTCGTTCCTAAAATGGAAGCCGAGCCGGATTAGGTGGCATCCACCGGTTCACCCGGTCAAAATCTAACGTCAAAAACCAATAAAATAAATAAAGCAAGAAGTATTAAAAAGAGAAGCATACAAGATACAACACAAGATGGAGAATTACTGAGGGAAAGCTGGAGTGAGTAAGAGAGGGATGGCGTACTAAAGGAGCGAAGAATTCAGAGCTCCAACTCCATCTCTACTGCTGTAGTTTGATCTGCAAGCATCGCCGATTTCTTTCTCTTTTTCTGTAATCATTTGGTTTCAGGAAAGTGAGCAGTTGGAAACATGGAAGCAAATGCCGGAATGGTTGCCGGCTCTTACCGGAGGAACGAGTTGGTTCGGATCCGCCACGACTCTGATAGCGGGGTTCGTATTTTAGCTTAAAGCATTTTCACTTAATGGCTCAAAATGAATTGTTTCATTTTCTAAATGTTCTCATGCTCGTGTTCATCTGCTTTGCATTCTGTGTTTGGATCTGAGCCTGATATTATCAAAGTTACTTATGAGATCTAAGTTCTGATTTCTTTCATTGGTATGGAGAAATTGGAGATCAGGTTGTTTTTATTTGCTTGTTTTTGATTAATTATGTTCGATTCAGCGTTGAAAGTGAGTACCAGGTTCTTAAATTTAATTTTACTCGGGTCTACTTGATGGACTAAAGTACCAAAGAAATTGGTAGCGATCGAACTCGGATGTCAAAATTAAAATCAAGTTTCAGCATTGAACTCGTTTATGAAGCAACGATTTTTGCATTTAGAGCAGATAGGGACGAAAGCTGGACAATTATGTGTCTGAGCTATTTTTGAGTTAAAGTTCTAAGTTTATTATTTAGTTTTGTGCTGAATTTATGGTAATGTGGATCTGATTTATGTGAGATCTTTGTTTTTGTTTGCTTGGATCTGGTGCCTTTGTTTCTTTAAATTGTGAATTATTTATGAATTTGGAGAATTCTAACAACATTCACTGCTTGTCCATATGCAGCCCAAACCTCTGAAGCATTTGAATGGCCAAACATGTCAGATCTGTGGTGATAGTATTGGAGCTACAGCGACCGGTGATGTCTTTGTTGCTTGCAATGAGTGTGCCTTCCCAGTTTGCAGGCCCTGCTATGAGTACGAGCGGAAAGATGGCACTCAATGTTGTCCCCAGTGCAAGACTCGATATAGAAGGCTTAAAGGTCAGCTTGTTTCTTATATGTCCCTGCTTTCTTTTGAATCCTGTTCCATGTTTTGCTTGAAAGTTGTTGTTATGGACAAAGTGACCAAAATGTTGCTTATTCAGGAAGCGCTCGAGTTGAGGGAGATGATGATGAAGATGATGTTGATGATTTGGAGAATGAGTTCAATTATGCACAAGGAAATAGCAATGCAAGAAGGCAGTGGCAGGGTGATGATGTGGAGCTTTCTTCATCCTCAAGACATGAATCACAACAGCCAATTCCTCTTCTTACCCATGGTCACGTGGTAGGCACATTACATGATTTCAATTGCCTTCTGATTCTTATGTGGTTTCTAGACAAATATCTATTAAATTGAATGGTTTGTGTAAATTATGGGAGATCAAACCTAGGATTGATGTTTCCATAACATTTTTCTGTGTTGACATCCTTTCATTTCTATGTATGGAATTTCAAGAAATTGATATTTCAATTTCTGGACTGCATCATCGTTCATCGGAGCTGGAATTTATTATTTGACCATGCACAATCACGAATGTTGTCAGCTGTTTTTCTGTTGAAAAGTAATTTATGTTCTTTTATAGATTTTTCAAGAAAATAACAAGGTTCACATGTGCAGCAATTTCATGCATTACTAGTTAGTTCATTAGTTTCTGAACTCTAGAGAATACCCCTATTTGAAATAGCCTTAAGACGTTTCTTGTATTCTGTATAATGAGCTTGGTTCCCTTACTAGTACTGTGATGATTTATGTTGGGAAAAGAGATTAGACTGTTATTTTGGCCAAATCTGATATAATTTAGAATTAAATTTTACATGATTTATGTAAGTAATTAATTGTTCATGCTTTCTGATGTGTTTGGTATTTTTAGGTGTCTGGGGAAATTGCCACACCTGACACCCAATCTGTACGAACTACATCAGGTCCTTTGGGCCCTCCTGAAAAGAATGTTAATTCATCTCCTTACATTGATCCGAGGCAGCCAGGTAATCCAGTGACTAGGTGTTATTAAATTGGAGTAAAAATCATAGAAAGGAGCTTCTTCATCCTTATTTTATATGGCTTTTATGAGTCTTCAGTTAATTGCATCTTTGATATTTACAGTTCCAGTAAGAATTGTGGACCCCTCAAAGGACTTAAATTCCTATGGCCTTGGAAATGTTGATTGGAAGGAAAGAGTAGAAAGTTGGAAACTTAAACAGGAGAAAAATATGGTTCAGATGACAAATAGATATAGTGAAGGAAAGGGAGGAGACATAGAAGGAACTGGTTCCAATGGTGAAGAACTGCCAATGTGAGCCTCTTTCTCATTTCCCTTTTTTTTTTTTTTTCCTTTTTTTTTTTTTTTTTTTTTTCCTTTTGCTTGTCCCCCATTTGTTGACATTTGAATACGTAACTATAGATAGCACCTGGGAACTATTATAAGTTGATCTCTGTTATCAGCTTCTATGGTGGCTCTTCTCTTTTTGGTTGAGTTTAAATTTTGAGTGACCATCATTTCAATTCATTTCAACTTTTCATGCCAATTTTATTTCACTATTAAGATTTTATATAAAGTAAAAGAATGATTTCCGTTCAGACTGCTCACATCCATGAATTTTTCATTTTCCTTAAAGTCTGATGGGTCTTGTGTCATAGGGCTGATGATGCTCGCCAACCTTTGAGTCGTGTGGTGCCTATTCCTTCATCTCAATTGACCCCCTATCGAGTTGTGATCATTCTTCGGCTTATAATTTTGGGCTTCTTCTTACAATACCGTGTAACTCATCCCGTGAAAGATGCATATCCATTGTGGTTAATATCTATTATTTGTGAAATTTGGTTTGCCCTATCTTGGCTTCTGGATCAATTTCCAAAATGGTCTCCTATCAACCGCGAGACTTACTTAGACAGGCTGGCATTGAGGTCAGTTAAACAATAATATGTTTCGATAATAGATGGTTCATTGAGTTTGGAAAGAAGACCATTTTTTAATCCTACTAATATTGGTTGTTTTGTCCTGTTTTAGATATGACCGGGAGGGTGAACCATCGCAGCTAGCTCCTGTAGATATCTTTGTTAGTACAGTGGATCCTCTGAAAGAGCCTCCTCTTATAACAGCAAACACTGTCTTGTCCATACTTGCTGTGGATTACCCTGTAGACAAAGTAGCTTGCTATGTTTCAGATGATGGTTCAGCTATGTTGACTTTTGAAGCACTTTCTGAAACTGCGGAGTTTGCAAGGAAGTGGGTACCCTTCTGCAAGAAACACAATATTGAGCCTCGAGCTCCTGAATTCTATTTTGCTCAAAAGATTGATTACTTGAAGGACAAAATACAGCCTTCTTTTGTGAAAGAGCGCCGGGCAATGAAGGTGAGTCTTGAAATGAATTGTCATATTCATGATTGGATTTGTTTTTTTTGCAAAATAAACTCACACTTTCTGCACGTATATTTTTCTAGAACCAATCAAATTTATGATGTTATGTTACAGGTGTGGAAAGCTATCAACTACCCCCCCTCTTCCCACCCTTTCTTTTCTGCTGTGTTTCTTTCTATTTCATCCCTAATTCATGTAATTTTTGCTGATAGGCTTTTGGTTTAGTGTTTAAAGGATGTGCTAAGGCCCCAGGGGTTCCCAAATCCAAATCCCTCCATCTCTAGAAATCATTGAATATTGGGAAAAAAATCATATAGCTTTTCATGGATTTATCACTCCTTTCATGTGATACAGAACCATTTGGGTATGACCTCCCCAGGTCATTGTGTCCATAAAGTAAATAAATTTCAGTATCAAAATCAGAGTCCCTTTATTTGCTTCTGTGGGTTTCATGCAAGAGTATAATACTGAAGCCACTTGTCTTGAGATGAATCATAATGGATTCGTACCCAATAACATTACTGTGTTTCAGCTGAAGAAAACATAGAAAAGAAAACAACATGCATTGTGGAACATAATTTGAGTAGACTAACTGAAACAGTTGGTAGAAGACCTCGAGTGATTTCTCAAGTGAAAAGATTTGTTTTGTTCTGAATGGCAGAGACTTTTATCTAAGTTTCCCTTGTTAATGCGTATTTTCTAACATTATAAATGAAAAATAATTCAACAGAGAGAATATGAAGAGTTCAAAGTGCGGATTAATGCCCTTGTTGCAAAAGCTCAGAAAATGCCTGAAGAGGGTTGGACAATGCAGGATGGCACACCATGGCCTGGAAATAATCCTAGGGATCATCCAGGAATGATCCAGGTATTGTTGACCACCCTAGTTTGTATTCTTAATTAACTCCTTGTTATCTTCTAACTGAATGGTTCTCAACATTTTTTAAAATACTTCATGTTCAACATCAGGTCTTTTTAGGCCATAGTGGGGGACTTGATACTGATGGAAATGAACTACCTCGACTTATTTACGTTTCTCGTGAGAAACGCCCTGGCTTCCAACACCACAAGAAAGCAGGAGCCATGAATGCTTTGGTATGTATTCTCTGGCCTCTCTTCAAAGTCTCACTATATTTTTCCTTAAAATTAGGTTCATGTCCTCCATTCTTTATTTGCACCCTGTAAATCATATTGCATTCTATAGCACATTGTGTACTAGATTAAATGTGGAGGAATGTTGTCTAAGGCTTTCTGGTACATGCCGTCATGATTTGTTGAATTGATTAAATACATCATCTCATATTGTGGGGCAACAGGATGGTGATTTGTTCCTCTATAATGAAAGACCATTGTGGTAAAATACACTCTTGGTTCATTTCAAAATTGGAATTTGAGTAGTGTACCAATTTCAATATACTATTCTGTTTTCACGAAAATTAGTGAATTTGAAACATCTGCCTAAATTCATTTTCATGTTCCCAAATGTGGACTCTGTTACTAATAACAAGAGGACATCAGCGTGCCTTTGCCAACCCAATGTTTCGGTGCAATATATTTGGTTGCAGTGATCCTGTGACACTTGTGTTAAAAGATATGGACTAAAATAATTCTCTTTTCTAACTTCAGTTTATCTTGTGATGTGCAGATTCGAGTTTCAGCTGTTCTGACCAATGGGGCATATTTGTTGAATGTCGATTGTGATCACTACTTCAATAATAGTAAGGCTCTTAAAGAAGCCATGTGTTTCATGATGGATCCTGCATTTGGAAAGAAGACATGCTATGTACAGTTCCCACAACGTTTTGATGGCATTGATGTGCACGATCGATATGCCAACCGGAACATTGTTTTCTTTGATGTAGGCACTACTTAATTTGTCATCACAGTGGAATTTCTTATTGTTTACTGTTTAATGTTTATTCAGATGTGAAATCATCTCCTTCTCATGTTATGCAGATCAACTTGAAAGGGTTGGATGGGATCCAGGGTCCAGTCTATGTGGGAACTGGTTGTTGTTTCAATAGGCAAGCCCTATATGGGTATGATCCTATTTTGACTGAAGCAGATTTGGAACCAAACATCATAGTCAAGAGTTGCTGTGGTCCAAGGAAGAAGGGGAAGAGTGGGAACAAGAAGTATATTGACAAGAAAAGGGCTGCTAAGAGAACTGAATCCACTATTCCTATTTTCAATATGGAAGACATTGAGGAGGGTGTTGAAGGTTGGTTTTCTTGGAAATTTAATTTTTCCTGACAACTCTCACTCTAAATAGTTTGCTTGATGCTGATAATAAAATCCAGTAATCTGGTTAATCTATGAATGACATGCGATGATTTTTAGTCTGCAAGGATGCAAAAAAATTTCATCATTTTGCTATTTGCCAAGTAATGGTATCATCCTTGATACTCCAATTTGATCAAACTGATAGTTGAACTGATGACTGCTGTTGGACAGTTGCTCAATTTGTAATTTTGACTTTGTTCTTTATTCTTTGCAGGATATGATGAGGAACGGTCGCTTCTGATGTCTCAGAGGAGCATGGAGAAGCGTTTTGGTCAATCCCCAGTTTTTATTGCAGCCACCTTCATGGAGCAAGGTGGCATTCCACCATCAACGAATCCTGCAACACTATTAAAAGAAGCAATCCATGTTATTAGTTGTGGGTATGAAGACAAGACTGAATGGGGAAAGGAGGTCAGTAGATTGCATTTAGCAGTACGTGTAATATGTAAGTTTCTGCTTTTCATAGATATTAACTTAGCCTTCTCTTCTGGCACCAGATTGGATGGATCTATGGTTCTGTTACAGAAGATATTTTAACTGGGTTTAAGATGCATGCTCGTGGTTGGATATCAATCTATTGCATGCCTCCCCGCCCGGCATTTAAGGGGTCTGCTCCTATCAATCTTTCTGATCGTCTGAACCAGGTTCTTCGGTGGGCTCTAGGTTCAATTGAAATTCTGCTTAGCCGGCATTGCCCCATATGGTATGGCTACAATGGAAGATTAAAGCTTTTGGAGAGAATTGCATACATTAACACCATTGTGTATCCCCTGACTTCAATTCCTCTGATTGCTTACTGCATGCTCCCAGCGTTTTGCCTTTTGACTGGAAAATTCATCATCCCTGAGGTAACTGATCAAACTAGTTTTTCCTTTTATTGCTTCTGAGTTCTTATGGGCCTTGTTCAGCCTCCCTACTATTCATATCATTCTTTTTTCTAAATTTGCAAAACAATGTTATTTATTCAGATAAGCAACTACGCTGGCATTTGGTTCATTCTACTCTTTGCCTCAATCTCTGCTACTGCCATAGTTGAGCTTAGATGGAGTAAAGTGAGTATTGAAGCTTGGTGGAGAAATGAACAGTTCTGGGTCATTGGTGGCACATCAGCACATCTCTTTGCTGTCTTCCAAGGGCTTCTGAAAGTGCTTGCTGGAATTGATACCAACTTCACCGTCACGTCAAAGGCATCTGATGATGATGGGGATTTTGCAGAGCTTTATGTATTCAAATGGACATCCCTTCTCATCCCCCCTACAACAGTACTTATTGTGAACTTGGTGGGTATCGTGGCTGGTGTATCATGGGCCATAAACAGCGGTTACCAATCATGGGGTCCACTTTTTGGCAAGCTGTTCTTTGCCATATGGGTTATTGCCCATCTCTATCCTTTCCTGAAGGGTTTACTGGGTCGGCAAAATCGTACCCCTACAATCGTCATCGTATGGTCCATTCTCCTTGCTTCAATTTTCTCTTTGCTATGGGTGCGCATTGACCCCTTTACCTCTGACTCCACCAATGCTGCTGCAAACGGCCAATGTGGCATCAACTGCTAATTCAGACAAGGAATCAAATCTCACGTGGTAATTTTCATCTCTCCTCCAAGATTTTATTTTGTATATAGCAAAGAAATCTCAAGACATCAAAGACGAACTATTTATACTCATTTAGTTTATGTCGGAAGGGAGATCGGTGGAAGTCTATTATTTAAGTCTGAAGGACATGAAGACCGTGGAAACAGGCCTCATTGTATCTCTTTTTGTTGCTACCAATCTTGCACAAGTTGTTTATAAATGAAAGACTCGTATGCACGTCGACAATGTAGTGGATCTATGTTTGTTATTGCTGCTTGTATTGGGGAGTGCTACGTTTTATTTTTATTTTTTATTTTTTAAGAGCATGTAGAGATATGTATATTTATTCATGGTGCTATGAAATTATCATTCTTTTTCAAGTATTTGAACAGTGGCTAATAGTTTCTTTCCTTGTTTTGGGCAATAAAAGTTGAAGCTGTATTAAAGGTAATATATTGAGAAGCGCTCTCTTTTTAACTTAAAAGTTGTGTTTATCGATGCTTAATATAAAGAAGGTTGCTCAATTTGTATATATCGTTGCTTGATATTTTGAGAAAAATATTTAAGAATTATATTAATTTAATAAATATTAATTAAAAAAGACATTTTTAAAATAAAAATGAAGTTATTCTAATTTTTTCATTGTATTTTATTAAAATAATATAATTTTAAATGCCATTTTTTATTTTATAAATCTAATTAATAAATACTAATTTCTTAAATTTTTTCACAAACAATCTTCTAAAAAATTAAAATTTTTTGAAGTACATGTTCTAATACTTGAATCCCGTAACCAGCCAATCTATCTCATAGGAAAACACTATATTTACTATATAAATACATGTCAATCCCCTGGGCTGCTCCAACTAAATTGTTTCGACTAGACGTTAACATGCATAGCCCAAAGCCACTCTAAAGCTCGGCCCAAAAGCTAAACGGTGACGTGTAAGGGCCCTGAGCCGTGAGAATAAAACCCCATCAAAGGGGGAGTAATGTAATGGTGGCCCAAAAGCTAAACGGTGACGTGTAAGGGCCCTGAGCCGTGAGAATAAAACCCCATCAAAGGGGGAGTAATGTAATGGTCAAGGGTTTTTGAGCAATTGAATAGCTTTCTGCCTCCTGCTCCAATCTCTGAGGCAGTTTAGGGTTTTGGATTTTTCTCTCACAGAGCGAGGAAATGGAGGGGGTTACAGAGGCAGTGAACAACTTGAACATCTCTGATTCTTCTGCCTCCATCAAGAAGAACCGTATCCAAGTTTCTAACACCAAAAAGCCCCTGTTTTTCTACGTCAATCTCGCCAAGGTATCCTTTTTCCTTTCTCGCTCGCTTTAAATTTGTTTCCTTTTTCCCTTTCCCATTCTCTGAGTCTCTTGGTAATCTGTTTGGCTGATTAGAAATTCCTGGAAAGGAAATTTTGAACAAGATGAATGGGTTGGTTCTTAACTAAGACATAGAAAGAAAACACACGAACTTTCTCGTCGATGAGGCGCTTTTTTCCATGTGCCATGAGCTTTTCTTTGATTGGTTTTTAATGGGTTTATTTATTTTCTTACTGGGTTCAGACTTCAAACTGTGTTCTTATTGATTTTGTTGCTTTATGCGTTGTTCATGCTAATGAAAACAAAAGGAAAAGGAGATTAAAGGAATAGAATTTTCTGACTATGTATGTTTCTAGCAATGTTATTCAAATACAAACAATTGACCCTTTATTTTGGTCTTTGCAGAGATACATGCAGCAACATAACGAGGTGGAACTCTCTGCCCTTGGAATGGGTATTCCCTTCACTTTAAATCCTACAGATGTATTTTCATTTTGGGCATGGTCACATGAGTAGTAATTTTTATGGTTCTCAGTTCTCTTGTAATTATTTTTTTGATATTGAGTTGGTTTAATGTTGATGGCAAAGTGGAATCAAGCATGTGCTGCTTTCTAGCTTTCTCTTGAATGGTTATTGTTCAACTAAATTGGATATAATTAAACTTGGTTGGATGTTTTATTTTCCATCGTTGCTTTTCTATGTGCTGTTTTATTATTTTTTTCCATTTAGTCTTTTGTAATTATAATGCTTATCCAAGACATGATGTTGCTTCTATCTCCAGTAAGTTAGGAAATATTAAGTTGAACTATAACGCACTATTGCATGCAGTGAAAGCAGTTGTGTGTAATTTTTCTTTAATCATTGAACTGTTAATATGCTATAATGTAATCCGGTCAGGTGGTCACATTGACTTGTTGGAACTTTCATTTCTGAATTAATTTTATACCTTCCTAAATGGTCTGCATTTGAATATTTTACACAGCCATTGCTACGGTTGTAACCATTGCTGAGATATTGAAGAATAATGGACTGGCTGTTGAGAAGAGTGAGATTCTTACTCTTATATGGATCTTTTTGGGCTTTTGTTCATAAAAGCTTTTACTGACCATGATGTTATGCATTGTTTACAGAAATCATTACATCCACTGTTGACATGAGGGAGGAATCAGGTGGAAGACCTGTTCAGAAAGCAAAGGTAAGTCTCAAATATAATATGCAGTGGATGTAATTTAAGTTGCACTGCTGATCCAATAATGAAAATTAAGTTGCACCTTTTTTTAGCTTTACATCAGTCAGACTAACCAGCTAGGGTTTAGCCATCATATACATGCATTCTCTCTTTTGTATTATTAATACTAAGATGCAAAATTTGGTCTTAATTTTTTTTGCAAATTTGTTGAGGATTGTTTGCATTTGAATCAGTTGGAATTTGTATGTAGGATGGATTGATAAATAGTTTCATAGATACTCCCTGTTATGTCTGCCTGTTCTAACCATGATGGTTTCCTTCTGTTGGACTGGTGCTTAGATTTTGCCTTTTTTCCACACTTTCCTGGGTTGGGATATTTAACTTCTGATCATGAACAGGACCTAAAATACTTAGCAGTTCTGTTGAAACCAATAAACGTAGTCCCCCTATGGATGCATCATGGATGTGATTTGAAAATGCCGTTATCTCTTTGTGCATGGTTACACATATGGTACCCCAAATGCCAAACTAATTTTTTAAAATGATGAAGGGTCACTAGATTTTGATGATTTGTTTGAGGGATTTGGGCACATTGTTTGGTAAGTCCCTTATTGTTCTCCTGAACTCTGAGATGTTAGAAGTGTGGATTTGTCAGGTGGCTTCTTAAGTCCTCAGTTATGTAATCTCAAACAGTCAACACTACAGATTTCAATCTGCTCTAGACTTGATCATGATTAACTATTAACTTGACAATGTCCATGAAATACTACTTTGTATGCTAAAGCTAATGAAATGCTTATCCCCCAATGTAAATTTGAATACCCTTGAATAACTTTTGAGATTGGAGGCTGATAGCATGTATGTTTCTCCTTCCTCAGATTGAAATACTACTTGGTAAATCAGAGAAATTTGACGAATTAATGGCTGCTGCAGCTGCTGAGGAAGCCTTGGATAACGAAGAGCAGAGTTGAGATAATGTTTAATTGTAGTTTCTTCTTAGCTTGGTTGTGGACATCTTTTTCCTAGATTTGCTCTATGGTTAGCCATTTAGTAGTTGTGAGGATATTTCTTCTAGGAATTTTTGTAAAACACTATACCTATTTCGCTACTTCAAATTCAGAATCTATTGTTAATGCCATACGTGCATGAAGCACTCAAAGCTCAGATATTCAGGTTCCTTTCTCTTCGAGAATTTACTTTCTTTTTCAATAATTTTCCATTGTTTAATGAGAATAAAAATGGTGGAACAGATCCAGATATCTCAAAATCCACATATTAATATTGTCGGTTACATATCAAAGGTGGCGACCCAGGATTAACATCACACGTTGGAAAAAGTCTAATATGGTTTCATACTTCATCTAAAAATATGTTACTTAAAATTTCTGCAGAATTTTCTTTTATGACTTTTCTCTACCGACTACCGACCTCCAACCTCCTGTATCATAATTCACAGAAGCAATCCCTTTTTTTTCTTTTTTTCTTTTTTTTGGGAAAAAGAAGATTTATATGCCTCATTCTCAACGCCAAAGATTTGCAATTTAATAAATATACTTTCCAAAATCACCAAGTTTTCCTTTAGCTCCCAGAGAGGCGTCGCCTGGACTG